GTCATGGGACCAGTTCTGTTTTAACTTGTTCATAAATAGAGTTTGGAACATAGTTACATAGTTAGTCTGGCTGAAAAAAAAGACTAAAGTCCATCCAGTTCAACCATAAAAAATAAAAAAAAATTATAATCCTATAAATAGTTCAATCTCCATTATTTGCTGACGATACAATAACTTCACAAAAGGATATAGCAACTTTACTAGGGTTGCCACCTCATCCCTGTAAAACCGGACACATATTAATGACACAGGTTCTTAGGCTACTTTAATGCAGGTAAGGCACTAAGTGAGTTTAATTACCACTTTAATCAGCCCCAGAACCTGTGTAATTAATATCTGTTCAGTTTTAAAGGGATGAGCTGGCAACCCTAAACTTTACAAGAAGACCTAATTAAAACAGAGGGGTGGACAGCTATATAGCAGATATAATTGAAATATATAAATGTTTGTACTTTGGAGCTAAATATGAATGCAACAAAACTAATAAGGGTTCTGGAGGACCTGCCTTATGAGATATGATTACAAATATTAAACCTATTCTCTCTGGAGAAGAGTAAGGCTACATGTACACAAGCCTACCTTGACTGCCGGTCGCGTGAAAATGCAAAACACTTTTTTTTCCCACGGCCAGCGGTCAAAACATTCCTATCCTGAACACGATTCATCTACGTTCAGGAGTAGGAGGTTTAACCTCTCCTAAATGCTGCAGCTCCTAAACTCTGCTAAAAGCCTATCTGTACATGGACACAGGCTTTTATGGAGTTGAGTTTAGGACCTTTGGCAAAAACCAAAAGCTCCTAAACTCAAGTTTTAGGAGTTGCTAGTGTACATGTAACAATGCTGCTGTCTAAAAGGTGTCTCCTTTTCTCCTCTGTCCAGAGTGCGGACACCCTAAGACAGGAAGTTTGTTACTGAAAATGAAGGAAAACTAGAACTAATGCAGCTACCACATTTAAGCTGGAACAGAATACATTTTTTGTTTATAATGCTTCTTTAAGCTGGCCATACACTGTTAGGGTAAGTTCACAATAGCTTTGTTAGACGGGCGTTTGGGAAGCGTTTTTAACACTCCTCAAGCTATGAAAATTCTATACATGGCAGCACACAGTGCTGTTCAAACTGAAGCTTTAGCGTTGCGGCAAAATTGACACCTCGTGGAGTCAGGAGGAGTTGAAGCCTCCCATTCAAGTCTTGTGGTGCAGTATTAACGCTTGGCAAACACCTAAAAAAACGCGCATAGTGCGTTAGAGAAGCGTTAAAAACGCTTGCCTAACGCCTGTAAAACGCTATAGGGGTGTTTGGCAAGAGTTAGAAATTAGTCAAGTGTGAACGAGCCCTTAGATATTTTTCGTTCAGCCTACACAGGCGGATCAGCAGTTCCCCCTGCTGGGCTATTATATTCTGATCAGATGCAACTGCTGTTTGGCCAAATCACATTATTGTTGAACAGAACAGGGCCAGCCACTAAGCGATATTATCTCTGAAATTTGTTCACTGTATGGCCAGCCTTATGCAAGGCCATACATGGGTCGAGTTCTGAACGAATTTTCTTTCGAAAATCATAGCTAAGAATTTTCTTTCGAATTTCGCACCATTAGTGGGCTACAGCATCGGTTGATTCATGCGGCCATCAAATTTGAGTGATCGGGCATGTTTGAAAATGTTTAAAAAGCGAATGAATTTCTAATTAATGATGGGAGAATTGTATGAGAAATATATTCAAAAAACAAATAAGCATGCGACCTGGAAAGAAAAGAAGGTTCCCAACCACAAAAAATCTTTTTTGTAGAAACATGAGGTGCAATTGAAGGCTTGGTTGGTTAAATTTCGAAATCAATGGTGGCACCATCGGATTAAAGGCACAAAATTTTCGATATTTTATTTAGAAAAAAAAAATTTTTTCAGAATTCGACCCATGTATGACCAGCCTTGGTTTAGTTATCAAGAGTTCGGTGGACTAGGTACTAATGAGTGTATATGAAGGTCACTTTTAGTATACATTTATATTAAGTAAGTTGGTTCCACATGGTATGCAGCAATATGTGTGTTAGGAAGATGACCTTAGCAATGGTCTGCTGGAGAAAGTAATTTATTGTACCTGCAAGGTGCATGTCCTGTTTTAGGAGGAGGAGGCAAATGTATAAATTTTTATGTGTATTTTAGCAAAAAAAAAAAATGAGTGCTCCTTGATTCACAGGGGTTAGATCAGGAAGGAACGAAAAGTAGCTAGTGTGATGGGCAAGGCTGGACTTGGCATTAGGAACGGTAAGCCCATGCCTATATGACCGAGAGGCTACTTTTCCTTGCATAGTCATTGACCACGTGTTCATGTTCCCATGCTCTGGAAGAATACTGGTGTCTCATATGAGCTTATGTAAACATTGTCATGATATTCAAAGCCAAAATAGGACCAGGCAAACAAACATTTATATAGGTGGATGCTTTGGACACCAAATGTTGTGTACTTACAGCTCCAGTGATAGAAATCTGGCCTTGTTCATGGGTATTGTGATTGGAGCAATGGAGGATGGCCAGGAGTCATGGATTTATGGAAAGGAGAAATGGAGCAATGCAGTCACTGACTTATGGGGAGAGGGAAAGAAGAAATAGAGGGCTGCCATAACTGATTCACTGGTATTGAGAGAGGAGAAATGGAGGGGTGCCATCACTGACTCGTTGGTGGGAAAGGAGGAATAGAGAGGTGCCATCATTGACTCTGATATCGGGAGAGGAGAAAATGAGGGGTACCAGTGACTTATGGCTTTTGGGAGAGAACACAGGGAAGCGGTCATATCGATGCAATTGAGATGGAGTCACACCAATTTTGAAAGTCCTTCATGCACTACTTTTTGTACATGGTGTGACCAAAAACTAAATGTATCAGCCAAAAATCGTGTTATCGACATTTTGCGGATAGGAAAATAGGTGCCAATAAAGGCCAGTGATAACACGCAATTTTGCAACGTTTTTAGGGTTTGTTTTTTGTAGGTCATGTGACTCAAAATTCACATTTAAAATGCAACATGTGCATTTTTTATGCCTTTTTGTTGCGTTTTCAGTGCATTTCAGGCTTGGTTCACACAAATGCAGCTTGCATTTGTCCGTTTTGCAGTGCTCTCTGCAGTGCATTGTACTTTTTTTTTTTTTTGCACACTTGTTTGACGCGTCTTTTAATGTGTTTTGCACTTTAATGGGTTTTTTTGGGCCAAGTTTTTACCGGGCAGATTAAAAACGCAAAACCGCATCAAAAAATGCTTCAAAACCGCACTACATGTGGTTTCTAAAGCATCTCCATTGAAGTCTATTGAACCAAAAATGCAACGTTTTACATTTAAAACAGTCCCTGACCCTTTCCAAAAATGCAGCAAAAAAGCATAAATGTGAACATGTCCCATAGGAAACCATGTTAAATTGACTGTTATGCGTTTCTGCAAAAAAAAAAAACTTTTTTTTTTCCCTTTTAACTGCCCAAAAATGCGGCAAGCAGGTTTTTTTAACACCGCAAGGGAAGTGCAACAGACCAGTGTAAAGAAATACATTAAATTTAAAGGGATTCATTCTATAGTTGAAGATTAACGTTTCCCACGCAAAATACAATCTAATCGTACAATCTCTTAGATCTATCAACAAGTATGTAGAGTAAGGACCTGCCTAATTACACTTGAATTAGGATCTCTCTTGAATTATTGCTAATGACTTTGATGTTAAATGCTGACCATACGTGGTCATTCAGCCATCCAATTGGATGAAAAAACTGAAATGATTCCCCCATCCACACATTTGGTGTGAATTCAGGAATCCTCCCCGCTTTGTCATTATTTTCTGACAGAGGCGAGATTCCCCCACCTCCCTGCTGTCCAGAATCCACAGACCAGCTCTGCAGCCAGCAGATGGAACTGGAAATTTCCAGCAATCCCGGTTGTGAGAGCATTGAGCAGTAGAACGATTTCTCATGAACGTGAATGACCACACATGGATTGAAACTTGGTTGGTTCCTGCTGAACTGGCTGAATTTTAGTTCATGTGTGGCTAGCTAAAGTTTTCCTGTAACATACCGGGCATGCAACATTAATGTAATTGTAATGACCTCATATAGTCCCATAGAGGACAGAAGGAGTAGGAAAGAGAGAGATGGGAAAGCATGGTGCCAGAGCCTCCCACTGTTCTACCCTTTGACATCTTCCACATGAAGTTGCTGGAATGAAGAGTGTGAGGATCCAAATTTTAAGTTTCATATGTCAGTTAATGTGCATTGTAATTTACACAGTTCTGATCATCCCTATTTAAAGTGCGTTTTGCTGGCAACTGCTCCAATGATGTAACAAGCAGGATTGTTTTAAAACATGCTGCTAAAATGCTGCTCAACAGTCGTCATTCCACATTTTCTCGGTGTCAGCAATAATATGATATTTTATGGGAGCACAAATTTCCACTAATAGTAACCACCCACACTAATCAAAATTCTGTTGGATTCAAAATTGCCAAAGAAAAAAAAACTTTTTTTCATTCCTTTTTAAAATCCCCTGCACATGCCTATCCCGAAGGACAATAGCTAGCCTGTTAAGCAGAGTGGAGATGTCAGTGGGAAGCAGTGAATGGTATTGGTTATAGTGTCAGAGGCTCACCAACTACTCCTTTGTTTTGTTTGAAGTGGGAGTTAGTTGTTGGGTTTTCAAAATGAACAATAGATTCATTTGCACACAGAACTGATAACATTCCTCTGCCTCCGAAAAATTCTGCAGTATTTTAAATCCATAGAGGACTGAAACAATAACCACAAGTATGCAGCATCTGATTTTAAGATCTATGTTAATTAGCGGGGTTTTTTTTTTTTAACCTCTCTCACCACAACATATTTATTTTATTTTTTTTTAAAGCAACGTCTTTCCCTGAAGTCTTTTTTTTTTTTTTTTTGACAATAACTTATCTCTTGGTTTCTTTAGGTTGGGGCTATTTTCAAGAGATCCAAGTCAAGTAAAGAGAAGCCTCCAAACTACAGGATGTCTTCGCAAGCCTCAAAGGATCACCTAGAAGGCCAGAAGTCCCCACTGTTAGTTGATGACCACACTGTAGTTACTGTCAGAGAATCAAAAATTCTAGTTCTTCTAAGGGGCCTTCCTGGGAGTGGAAAGACAACAACACTGGCAAAAGAAATTGAGCAAAAATATAAAGAAACATCACGTCTCATCTCTGCTGACCAATATGAAATCAAACCGGTAATTAGGAGTTCTAGTGGAGGAGATTACACTAAATTGGATGACGAATTAACAACTTGCTTTGAAAGGCGTGAAGCCAGTCTGGTTATCCTTGATGATACACACCATGATCATGAGCGCCTTGACGAGTTGTTTGATTTGGCCAACAAGTACCATTTCACTGTAGTTGTCCTGGAACCCAAGACACCTTGGAGACTGGATTGTGCACAGTTGAAAGATCGAAACCACTGGAAGTTATCATTAGAAGAGCTTAAGAACCTAAGGCCCTCCCTGGAAAAAGATCTGCTTCCTCTGTACTTTGGATGGTTCCTAGCTAAGCGGGATGAGGATTCCCTGAGGAAGACCAGCCATGAATTTCTGGAACAGCTGGGAAATTTAAAGGCCTTTAAAAAACGTTTACAAGCATGTAGGTATAAAATAATTATTATGATGTAGAAATATTTTATCATACCTGTTGGGACTAAAATGTAAGATAATTTAGTGTAGAACAAGAGTTGTATTTCTTAAAGCATGTGGGTGTTTAATGCTATTATAACTTTAGCGAGTGTCTGTTTCTCTAAATCCAGCCATACATGGAGGGATTTTTCTTTTCTGCAACCACAGGCTGCAGGAGAAAAAAAAAAATTGCAGAGCCATTGTGTTCTCCTGGCATGGGGGCATCCCCATCAGGAGAAGACAGTGATATCTGCTAGCATCTATAATATCCACTAGCAATAATCATATGTAAAATCTGACAGACTGGTTATACAGTTGATCAATCAACTTGGTACATTCAGCCTTGCCCATACATGGTTCGACTCTTGGCCAGTCCCTGCTGAACCGGCCAAGATTTGAACCCTCTATTGCCAGCTTAAGAAGTTTCTTGGTGCATTTGTGCACAACGGATGCCTCCATGGTAATGAACAATAGACTAATGGCTAAAAAAGTCAACGTGGCTTAATGCTGATCCTTTTACACTTTTATTAAAAAAAAAAAAAAGTTCATAGGAATAAAGGCTAATAAAGTCCACTTTCTGAACCATACTACATGTTACGCCTATATTGATGGTGTAACATGGTTGCAAGCAGACCCCTAAACAGTCCCCTCTGACAGCATGCAGCTATACTTTTGATCCACAGAGGCTGTCACTTTTGACATGGCTGTGAGGGCAGATCTGTGAATGAATGACCTACAAGACCTCTCTTGCACCGCGGCAGACGCATTTTGAAGTTCTCAGTGGAACACAAGTGTGGTGATTATTGCACTCGCTGTCCATTGACACTTTTTCAGCTCAGTAGTGAAAGTCCTTACTTATCTGTAAACACAGAGCTGGAGGGAAAATTTTCAGGAGCTGATCACTGTTGCAATGCTTTCCAGGCTCATTTGCAAAATAACAAGTGCACTTCTTTTTTTTTTTTTTTTTTTTTGCTACCAAAAGAGTTGCATTTATTTATTTCAAAAGGTGGCCTTTATAGCACCAAGCACATTGTATGGTTAGAAATAATGTAACAGCTGAAAAATTCCCTTTTAATTTTTGACAGATATATATGTGTGTGTGTGTGTGTGTGTGTGTGTGTGTGTGTGTATATATATATATATATATATATATATATATATATTAACCTACAGTTTCTTGTTCTATAAGCGTGCATTGAGCTCTTTTCCATGTTTCTGGTTTACCTCTGGACAGATATTTCAGATAAAATTGTAATATACTAGTGAAGGGTATCTGTTGTAGTTGTTGCACCACTGACTGCCTGTTTGTCCAAACTGTAATCTTCAGTATTGGACATTTAGAGCAGATTTAGCATGACTTTGGAGCAGGTGTGTCACAGGTAATTTCATTGGGTGGGTGTGTGAACCTGCAAGGTTTTGTTTTTTTTGTTTTGTTTTGTTTGTTTTTCGTTTTGTTATTCAACCTGTTGGCTCAGCTAACTGTATCAGCTTGTTACACCCAAAACAGTTTCACTTTTTCATTTACTATGTTTGGTGTTGATTTACAGCAGGAAATTGCTTTTCCAGTCTTATCTTTGTCATTTGTCTGCCTGTGCTTGGCAAAGCCAATGCAAATATTGTGAAATTGTATTTATGTAAAATTGGGTAGGGCAGATATTACAAAATGTATTGAAGTTGTTTCTAAACCCTGTGAATCAATAAGCTAAATTTCAGACTGTATAAGATCCGTAGTAATTTCCTCTTGCTAGTCGTGTTGTGCTGAGTTTCTTTAACCAGTTGGGGAGTTTGGTGGGCCTTGCTAATAGATCGCAAATAGATCATTGAATGATGTTTGGAAGAAACTTTCAATATGCACAGGAATTGAAGAAAATAGGATGGTGTGTGTTCTTTAGCTTTCTTTTTGTGTTCTTACACAGTTACATACAGTATTAACATAGTCTGGTTAAAGTCCATCCAGTTCAACCAATACAGAAAACAAACTCACACACACCCTCTATTTACCCTATCCAATACCCACAGAAGATCCAGAGGAAGGTAAAACACCCCAATAAAGCATGATCCAATTTGCTCCAGCAGGGAAGTACATCCTTTACAGGAGGATGTACTATCATTGGTGGGAGTGGGATAATGAGTGGGGGGTAGTGTTTGCTTCTATAGTTTCCCCTAAGACTGCCAGATCTAAATACAGTGCCTTGATAAATATTCATACCTCTTGAAATTTTCCACACTTTGTCATGTTACAACCAAAATTGTAAATGTATTTTGTGATAGACCAACACAAAATGGCACATAATTGTGAAAGGAAAATGATAAATGGTTTTCAAAATTTTTTGCAAATATTTGAAAAGTGTGGTGTACATTTTGTATTCAGCCCACTCTATTCTGATACCCCTAACTAAAATATAGTGGAATCAATTGATTTCAGAATGCACCTAATTAGTAAATAGTCCACCTGTGTGTGATTTAATCAGTATAAATACAGCTGTTCTGTGAAGCCCTCAGAGGTTTGTTAGAGAACATTAGTGCACAAACAACTTCATGAAGGCCTTGGAACATACCAGACAGGTCAGGGATAAAATTGTGGAGAAGTTTAAAGAAAATGATAAAAGTTTAGTTTATAAAAAAAAATCCCAAGCTTTGAACATCTCGCAGAGCACTGTTCAATCCATCATCCGAAAATGGAAAGAGTATGGCACAACTGCAGACCTACCAAGACATGGCCGTCCACCTAAACTGACAGGCTGGGCAAGGAGAGCATTGATCAGAGAAGCAGCCAAGAGGCCCATTGTAACTCTGGAGGAGCTGCAGAGATTCACAGCTCAGGTGGGAGAGTCTGTCCACAGGACAACTATTAGTCGTGCATTCCACAAATCTGGCCTTTATGGAAGAATGGCAAGAAGAAAGCCATTGTTGAAAGAAAGCCATAAGAAGTCCTGTTTGCAGTTTGCAAGAAGCCATGTGGGGGACACAGCAAACATGTGGAAGAAGGTGCTCTGGTCAGATGAGACCAAAATTGAACCTTTTAGCCTAAAAGCAAAAGGCTACGTGTTGCAGAAAACTAACACTGCACATCACCCTGAACACACCATCCCCACCGTGAAACATGATGGTGGCAGCATCATGTTGTGGGGATGCTTTTCTTCAGCAGGGACAGGGAAGCTGGTCAGAGTTGATGGGAAGATGGATGGAGCCAAATACAGGGCAATCTTAGAAGAAAACCTGTTAGAGTCTGCAAAAGACTTGAGCCTGGGGCGTAGGTTCACCTTGCAGCAGGACAACGATCCGAAACATAGTGCCAGAGCTACAACGGAATGGTTTAGATCAAACCATATTCATGTGTTAGAATGGTCCAGGCAAAGTCCAGACCTAAATCCAATGTAGAATCTGTGGCAAGACTTGAAAATTGCTGTTCAGACGCTCTCCATCCAATCTGACAGATCTTGAGCTATTTTGCAAAGAAGAATGGGCAAAAATGTCCCTCTAGATGTGCAAAGCTGGTAGAGACATCCCCAAAAAGACTTGCAGCTGTAATTGCAGCGAAAGGCGGTCCTACAAAGTATTGACTCCGGGGGGCTGAATACAAATGCTCGCCATACTTTTCAGATATTTATAGCAACATCATGTTAACATGACCTTATTAAGCGCCATGGGATGAAGACAGCACCACATCATTGTAAGTCACTAATGCACCTTTATAACTATGAATAGACCTCCTGGTAAACACAAGGCAAACCAGTGTGGGTCTGATGCAATTCATTTACTGCTTTCCTTTGGATTGAAAGTAAAGAGAAGAGACACTCTGGGATAAGTCTTCACTGCTGTGTGCTGGCACATTTTTTTTTTTTTTTTTTTAATGGTTGAACTGGATGGACTTTTGTCTTTTTTTGGCCAGACTATGTAACAAAAATAGTGGAAGGATGGGAAAAAATAGTAAAACCTATGTGAGAAGAAGTGTAGAGCAGGATATGTAAGTGACTAATGCAGATTGAAAGTATCATGACAAAAATTGGAAAACCACAAGTCAAGTAACAGGAGTGATGGAAGAGAATGCCACCTCTGCCTTAGTGGATAATTTTTTCAGAAGGGGGCCATGTTTCCTGCTACTGACATCAGCAATTATGCACTGACACCAGTGATGGGGCGTTATTCCTCCCACTGACGCCAACGATGGGGCGTTATTCCTCCCACTGACGCCAACGATGGGGCGTTATTCCTCCCACTGACGCCAACGATGGGGCGTTATTCCTCCCACTGACGCCAACGATGCATTGTTTGCTTCCACTGACACCATGACAATTTCTACTCCAAATGGCCACAGTTTGGCCCCCTAAAGTGTGAAGGACAGTAAACTGGCCCTTTTGTTTATAAAGTTTGGAGACTCCTAGCCTAGGCCAATGGCCTTCATCCATAACCATGTTGAGGCTACTTGCACACTTAACGCTGGTAACATTAGCTGTGTAAAGTCACGTTAATGTGAGTTTTTCAGTGTTTTTGTATTTTTTTTAGCGGTTTTTAGAAGTTTTTTTGACCAAAAAAAATTTTTTTGGGTCAAAAAAAGTCCAAAAACGCAGGTGTACTGCGTAGCATACTGTTTTTCAGAGTTAAAGCGTTTTTACAGCTAAATAACTCCTCTAGAAAACCACTAGTTCCGGGGGGTTTTTTCCAACCAAAAAACGCTGATTACAGTCTGTGTGCATGAACACATAGGATAACATGCTGGGGAGTTTACTGGCTGTAGAAAAAAATGTCAAAAGCCAAAACCAGCCGCTGTAAAAACGTCCAGTGTGCATGAGGACTTATTGTCTTAGTAAACTGTGACCAGTAGATTGCTTCATTGATGTTGAACCCATCAGCTTTATCAGGATTTGAGGAGGAGATCAATATAAATGTATTATTTAAAGATTAACACCATTTGACTCTGGAACATTCTGTGTTTGGTGAGATTTAGTGTGTTGAACTACATTCCGTGTC